TGAGGTAGGACACAATTGATGTAGTAGAAGTCAGACTGAGACCCTCAGACCGTTGCCTGGAGGTTGAATTTGGGGACAGGGAAGGGTTAAGATTTTTTTGTGTTTTTTATTTTTTGAAAGCCATGCTAACACTTGTTATCTATGAAACTATCATGTTTATAATTTAGGTTTAAACATTTGACATTTTAATGGGAAGACTGAAATGGGGCTAGGATTCAGTTAAAGTAAGATATAAGTGTTGCTACTTAGAGCTAATTTCTTTCTTCTTAAAAATCATTAATTATGTTTTTGAAATCTCAAAAATGTTTTTCAATTACTGACTTATCAAATTTGCATTTTGTTAAGCAATACGAGGATTCTCTCCATCACATAGAATCTGCAGTTTTGAAGAGGCAAAGGGTTTGGATAGGATCAATGAGAGAATGCCACCCCGGAAAGATGCTGTACAGCAAGATGGTTTCAATTCTCTGAACACCGCACATGCCACTGAGAACCACGGGACTGGCAACCATAGTGCCCAGTGACCCACGGCTTCCCAGGGACTCTCACATCTCGGGCCCCAAATGGACAGATCACCCGAGGAGCTGGAGGGGTCGGCCAAGCTGACTGTAAATGTCACAGTCCCTCTGAAGAAACCATCATTGCTTTTGAGACCCAGCCCCCTTCCTGGATGGAGGCTTGAGGGCCCTGGGATATGTTATGCTATCTGATAAGATTGGGTCATCGCTGCCAAGGTGGAGAGCAGTGAGCAAGGGGCTTGGGGCAATTTCCAGTGGAGGGCATCTACACCTCCATTTATGCTTGTGGTTCACACATTTAAGTTTACAAATGAGATTTTTTTTCCCCTCAGTAGAATTAGATTTTGTTTTTCAACCATGACTTCAAATGTAATCCTAAGAGCTAATGTGGACTTTTTTTTTTTTCCATGAAATGTCTTTAAAGGATGAATTAGCATGGTCTTAAAATACATTTCTGAGGTTACTAGCTGTATTTTGAATTGTGGGCAGAATGCTGAGAAACCCAGTTGGCGTTTATACAAAATGCTGACCTCAGGTCTATAGTTCTTAAATGTAGCTAATTCTGTAACTTAGTCTTGGTATTTTTCAATTAAAAATGCATAATCCATTTCTAGACAGACTCTCTTACTTGAACACAATTCCAAAAACTAATTTAGATGTTTTTTGCCCAGATCTTTTGAGATTTATACCCCAGAGATTTAAGACGAAAACTTCCAAATTTCAAAATTATGAAGAATTACAGAATTACTCATTTAAGGTACTTTAAAAGAAGTTTGTACATTGTCAAAGTAAATTTTAATTCAAATCATGTCTGTAAAACTTGACGTATTTTGTGTATGCATGTTTTCATTTTGCAAATATTTAATATATAGACCTATGATGTACAGGTACGACATGTATAGGTTACCTAGATGTTATGACAAATTTTAGTTTATTGTGAGTACTCAAGTTGCTTAAATAGCCACCAGGGTGATTTGCTGCTGGCTTTCTATCATTTTTATGTTTTAATGCAAAGGAAATTTTAAAATGTTCTGGGAGTGTTTTTGATTAAGCACTGCAGCCTAGAAGCAATGGTTCTGTTCAATCATTCAGATGTTAGTGGAAGCATAAAAGTCAAGACTGCATGTTGAAATTTTTCTTTTGATAGTTACTGAAATGCTTGGTTAAACTAAATGGAACCATGTGCTAATTTCTCACAATTATTGACCTGTATTGATTGCCACTGTAGTTTGGTATTTCCTTTTACTTTGGTGGCCTGCTTCCCTCATGCCCTGGAATACAACTCAGAGCTCCAGGCAGCGGAACCATCTATTGTTTTGTTTGCCAGAAAGTGCACCCTGTATGGTCTCCTGTCTAAGTTGGAAATATTATGCATGTGCAGGACTATTCGAGTATTTTATAAACAGTAGCACACAATAAATTCCATGCATGGGCCGCTGCTCCTATCTCTGTGTTGGGTTTTATTTGGAAAATGCAGTCTGATTTGGCTTTTTGATGCAAATCAGAAAATCCTGTTAATAGAAATGGGATATCCTTCAGAGATTATCATGTAGCTAATTCATGGTGATTTGATTAATTAAATTCTTGTCTTTATAAGTTTTGCCATTAAAAAAATTTTATTATACTTGTTTTACATGAGCATTAGTAACAGCTCTAGGGGACTTTGGATGCCTACTATAGGCCTCCTGAATCTAATATTTAAAATCACTGTTTTTATTATCTTTTAATTGAAAGAAATATTTTATTGTCTAGACTTTTGTTACAGTGGTATTGGGAATTTATTGGGTGTCTTAACAATAAGAAGAAAAATACTAGTGATATTGCATTTTCCTGTCATCCTATTCTTTACCATAATCAAAATAAGTCTAGGATTTTGCAAATTGGGGGAAATTAGGATATTGCTCAAAATTTTATAATAATATAATCCTGTAATAACTGTATAGTTCTCAATACTGATTATAGTGAGATACATTACAAACCATTAATTTAATTAAATCAATGAATTAAATTCTAATTTAGTTAAAATATATATTCTTCCCTAATTTCAAGCAACAAATAGAACTTTGCAAATTATTGACTATTACAGTTCTCTTTGCTGTAATATTAACTAGCAAGTCAGTCTATGAGTTGCCTCTAAAGTTATTGTGCATTGCATACATTAAAGATAATTCTTTTATTTTTGTTTTTATTTTTTTAATTGGAGTTTCACTCTGTTGCCCAGGCTAGAGTGCAGTGGCATGTTCATGGCCACTGCAGCTTCGACTTGCTGGGCTCAGGTGATCATTCCAAGTAGCTGGAACAACAGGTGCGTGCCACCATGTCCAGCTAATTTTTTGATTTATTGTAGAGATGAGGTCTCGCCAAATTGCCCAGGCTGGTCTTGAACCCCTGGACTCAGGCAATCCTGTCTCCACTGCCTCCCAAAGTGCTGGGATTACAAGTATGAGCCACTGCGCCCGACTTAATATAATTCTTAATGTTATTGTTTATGAAAGCTATTCATCTCTTAAGTAAGAGTTTAACTAGTATATAGGTGCCAGGAACTCCTTTAGCTTTTATATTCATCACTAGGGTTATGTAATGTTTGTAGGAATCTTGCGTGGGCATAAAGCATTATTAACAAACTAGAGGAATTAAGGGTCATAGATAAAAATTAAGAGGAAAACAAGAGAAGGGAACAAAACTAAAAAAAAGTGATATACATGAAGAGTGGTAGCATATCATCTAGTGCCTCACAGACCACTTCCTGCCTGTTGAATAGGAACCTCTTTCTAGTCTGTGTTCGTAGTTTCACAACAAACCATTTATTAAGATTTTCTAAATGCATCTTATGATAAATGCAAATTGTGAAAAATTTAGATTTTTCTAAGTGTTAACTTTAAATGTCTGTCAGAGCAAGTAGCAGTGATGGCAAAATATAAATTAATATTCAACATCAGCCGGGCTCTGTGGCTCAGCCTGTCATCCTGTGCCTTGGGAGGCTGAGGTGAGTGGATTGCGTGAGCCCGTGGGTTCGAGACCCGCCTGGGCAACTTGGTGAGAACTCTCAACAATAAATCAAAAAATTAGTTAGGTATGGTAGCACGCACCTGTAGTTTCAGCTACATGGAAGGCTGGGGCGGAAGGATCGCCAGAGCCCAGCAGGCTGGGAGCACCCACTGCACTCCAGTCTGGGCGACAGAGTGAGACTCCAACTCAAAAAATATATATATATATATATATATATTCAACATCAAGTTTTTCCTATATATCATTCCCCTTCATAGTCAAAGATAACTATTCTGAACTAGAAAAGTCAATCTCTGATTCCTTGTAACTTTTACAGTTCAGTCATTATTAAAAGAATTCAAAACTTTTGAGGTTTTTAGTTAAAGTTTGAAGCCAGTTATGTTTGAAGTTGGCTTGAAACTTTTGCTCAAAATGAAATCACCTCTATTTTATTGAGTTTTTGCCTATTGCAACTGACTTTCCTTTGTCCACAACTATTCTACATAATGTTAATGTACTGTTTTGTTAAATCCTTAATACTTTTCCACCTTCCCTGCTTGTAGTTTTTGCTTTCTACAGTTTGGGATTCCTGTGTGGATCTGATATGCCACATTCCAGGACCTCGTTGCAAAGGTTTTGTTCCCCAGTTTGATGATGATGTTCACAGGGGCAGGTAAGTGACAACTGGGGCCAGATGTAAACAGAAAGTCAGATCTTGCAGACATAGGACCACTACCCTAACAAGTTATAAGAGGTTTGAGAGCTTGATATCTCTAAGTGGAAAGAAGAGAGATGTGGAATTGAATTTCCTGGATCAGCATCCATTACAAGAAGGAATGATAGATTGTTGAGCTGAGTCTTTTATATTTTCTATTCCTAGAAATAGTATGCATTTTTAGTAATTAACTAAAATTTTGGTTTTGCTTACTTTGATATTCCGGAAGCATTTATTCCTCTTTTGAAATAAATAGGTGGAATGCTCCTGATGATACTCTTACTCAGAATACTTGCTCTCCTTTCCGGGAGAGTGAATTTTATAAGTTAATTCTGCATATTTCCCCTATAACTAATTTCATTCTGTACCATTAAATGACCATTTATTTTCTTCCTTCTTGGGTATTATGTTTATACTTAAGCTTTGATTGGACAGTGTTAAGTGTGTTTGAACAGTGTTTGTTATGCTAAAAAAGGACATGGGGATTACCCTTTCCAACCAAATAATGACTTCTGCATTCATCCTAAGGGATTTGTTTCTGAAGTTATGCACTGAGAACAGAAATATCACCTTAAGGTAGAGATATCAAGGAAGCGGTAGGTTTCATTTTCCCTCAGCCTGTCTGGCCTTTAGTAAGTTTCAGAGTGTTGACAGTCCTGAGCCCTCTTGGCGGAGAGCAGGGGTTAGAAAGAGAGAAGTCCTCGGGCAGGTGGCCAGATCCCTACTTGCCTCGTTAGGGAGAATTCAGTCTTGTCTGTCTGGTTGGCAGGACACACTTAATCACTGAGACCCAGCATTTCAGCAGTTTGCAAAGGAAAGTGATAGGAAGGGACAGCTGCAAGTAAGTCACCACCTAGATCTGACTCCTCAAGTACTCACTCACTGGGAGGAAAGAGAGAAGGAAGGAAGCCGAGGGCTTAGCAGGGTAAGTTTTCTTTTTCCATCAACCTGTCTGCTTGCTTAGTTTATAATTGCGTAAAGTATTTATCACCCCAGGGAGTGTTAATCACTGATTAAACAGCTGAATGTGGTCATAATTGTAGTGTTCTTAATGTATTTCTTCTTTTTCTCTTTCTCTGCTCTTTTTAAGGATCCCCAATGACCAGTTTTACTCTGCCTTCTCTCTGCCTCCCCAGAGATAGTTTGCATTTGCTGGTGAACTAGAGAAAATTAGATAAGCCCTCCTGGTCTGGAGATAATAAGAAAAAATTATTGTAGTTTAAGTGAAGCTTGGGACTTATTGGTGATAAGAAGGAAGATGTGAGATCTTGGTCTAGGGTTAGCTAATATTTTGGCTTGTAATTTTGAGATGAAGGATAAAAACTTTTTTGGACAACCAAGTTCATGTATCTTCTCTTCTCTAGTTCTTGATGTAATATCTCTTAGATGCTGAGAATAAATTAAAGCCCAAGTCACTGGGAATGGCTAGAAAAAAAGTGATTCCCTGTCTAGGTGGGGTAAACTCTGAGTTCTGAGAGCTTATTGCAGTTCTTTTCAGCACTCCCTTATGTCCCCTGTTTTTTCTTTTGTTTCTCTCAGTTTATACCCCTTGAACTTGGAGGAGCCTGGGGCTCTTTGCAGGAAAGTTATAATCAGGGAAGCTATGTCTGGGTCTGGGGCACACAAATTCAAACATGATCCTGCTGATATATACATATATGATGTACATAGATGCAGATGCAAAGACCTGGCTTCTCATTTCCACCTTCTTACCTTCCTGCCAGAAACCTAGCTCATTTGTATCATGAATCATGGATCTGAAGGAGACCATATGACGTTAGGGATTTTACCACCAGTGTCCTTTTGATTTCCAGCCAGTTCAGCCAACCCCCAGACTGCCAAGTTAATTTTCCATTGAAGGAAGACCTCTCCTTGGAAATGCAGATAAGTGAGACAGTACCTTTTTTTAACTTTAATTGGCTTGCTTTCTTTGTAGCGAAAAGACTCAGGATTTAACTTCAGGGAAATATATATTATAAATTCTGGAATTCGATGGGAGGTGCATAAGGGTACCTGATCTCAAACCAGGCGAGTAGGGACCAAAGGGAAGCCCAAACTTTTCCTGTACAATGACTACCTATGTACCTAATCCTGAAGTGCACCCCACATCTTTAAAATAAAAAATATTTAAAAATTTTAAATTCTAGGATTTAAGGCCGTAGATTTGTCTCAGATCAAAGATATTTTCCCTTCCATAACTGTTAAAAATATAATGAGTCGGTTCTTTTAGGTTTTAAGAAGAGAAAGGTACCTGAGTGGGGTGGGCGGGTACAGTAGATAAATGCTCCTTCTTCTTTTTTATTTTTTTGAAGTCGGGATCTCTTTCTGTCACCCAGGCTGAAGTACAGTGGCACGATCACAGCTCACCACAGCCTCGACCTTCTGGGCTCAGGTGATCCTTCAGCCTCAGCCTCTTGAGTAGCTGGAACTATAGATAGGCACACACTACCACGCCTGGCTAATTTTTTTAAAATTTAAGATATTAGGTCTTACTGTGTTGCCCAGGCTGGTCTTGAATTCCTGGGCTCACGCGATCCTCCTGCCACAGCCTCCCAAAGTACTGAGATTATAGGTGTGAACCACTGTACCTGGCTGATAAATGCTTTTTCTAGAATGGCAGTGATTCTGCAAATGTGGTGAATGTGTAGTTACTAAAAGTAGAGGGAAGAGTAAGGTCCGTTGTTGGAAATGGTGTCCTAAAGTGTGAAAGATAATTCCATTCACTTTTTTAGTAAAGGGACATGACTGTTAAACTCTAAAATAATCTATTATCAGGCCAGATGCAGTGGCTCACCCCTATAATCCCAGCACTTTGGGAGGCTGAGGTGAGAGGATTTCCTAAGTCCACGAGTTCGAGACCAGCCTGGGCAACTTGGTGAGACCCCCTCTCTACAATAAATCAAAATATTAGCCAGGCGTGGTGGTGCATGCCTGTAGTTCCAGCTACTTGGAAGGCTGAGATGAAAGGATCACCTGAGCCCAGCAGGTTCAGGCTGTGGTGGCTGTGAGCGTGCCACTGTACTCCAGCCTGGGCGGCAGAGTGAGACTCCAACTCAAAAAAAAAAAAAAAAGTAATATATTTAGGTCCAATTTCTTCTTCATTGATGGTAACATAGAGTATATGGTATATGGATGAGCTTAGCTATCTCTGTTCCATGGACTCTGAAACCATCCATTCACCCATAGGATGAGGGGGGATCTTAAAAGGGCAGAGAAAAGCAGAAGGACAAGGAGAAAGTACAAAGGGAAATATAAATTTGTTCTTCTGTTAACCTGAGAACAGGAGTTTGCAAAGGCATGTTGTAAAATATGGATATGAACTAGATGATTCTGGGAGTTTTTTGTTTGTTTTTGCCACCCACATACACCTCAGCTGCATGATGATTCTACAGTTTTTTTTTTTTTTCCTAACAGATCTGATCTAGAAGGATCAAATGTCAGACAATTTTGAAACAAAACATGATCCCTGGTTTGAACTTTAATAGATACCTCATTCACAGTAAAACCAACTGCTGCCAATGTTTTTATGCTCTATGATTTCTCAGTCCCTGCAGGCAGATAATCTGGGGATTAATAACTATTTAGCTTCTCAATCTCTATATTCCTTCTTCCCTGTCTTCCTTAATTGAGGTAAAATTTACATAACATAAAGTTAATTATTTTAAAGTGAGCAAGTAAATGACATTTGGTACATTCACAGTATTGTATAACTGTCATCTCTATCTAGTTCTAAAACATTTTTATCACCCAAAAGAAAACCATTAAGAAGTTACTCCCCATTTCCCCTTCTACCCAGCCCTTAGCAACTACCAATCTACTGCTTTCTGTCTCTGGACTTACCTACTCTGGATATTTCATCTGTGTGTGTCTGACTTCTTTCACTTAGCATAATGTTTTTGAGCTTCATCTACATTGTGGCATGTGTCTGTATTTCATTTATTTTTATAGCTGAGTTTTATATATATATACACGTGTGTGTGTGTGTGTGTGTGTGTGTGTGTGTGTGTGTGTGTGTGTGTGTATCTCCCAATTTGTTTACTTATTTATCCATTGGTAGACCTTTGAATTGCCTACCTTTGGCTATTGTGAATAGTACTGCTATGAGCATTAATGTATAAGCATTTATTTGACCACCTGTTCTTAATTATTTTGGGTATGCACCTAAGAATAAAATTGCTGGTAATAATATGGTAATAATATGGTAGTATTATGCTTACCTTTTGTTTTTGTTTTTGAGTAGGAGTCTTGCCGGGCTCGGTGGCTCAGTCTGTAATCCTGCGCCTTGGGAGGCTGAGGAGAGTGGATTGCCTGAGCCCGCAGGTTCGAGACCCGCCCGGGCAACTTGATGAGACCTCATCTCTACAATAAATAAAAAAATTAGCCGGGTGTGGTAGCACACGCCTATAGTTCTATATAGAGCAGTAGCATGCTCACAGCCATGGCAGCCTCCACCTGATGGGCTCAGGCGATCCTTCTCCCTCAGCCTTCCAAGTAACTGGAGCTATAGGCACATGCCAAAGCACCTGCCACCACGCCCAGCTAATTTTTTGATTTGTTGTAGAGATGAGGTCTCGCCAAATTTCCCAGGCTGGTCTTGAACCTCTGGGCTCAGGCATTCCTCTTACCTCTGCCTTCCAAAGTGCTGGGATTACAGGCATGAGCCACAACAACCGGCCTATGCTTAACTATTTGAGTAACTGCCATACTGTTTCCTTTTTTTCTCAGAAAGCAAGATTTATTGAGAGGATAGAAAAGCTCCCACAGTGGGAGGAGACCCAAAGGGGTTGCCCCCTATTGTTTTCTATAGTGGCTGCACCATTTTACATTCCCACCAGCAGTGCACAAGAATTCTAGTTACTCCACATCCTTATCAAAACACTTGTTATTTTCTGGTGTTTTGAAAATAGCCATCCTAGTGGGTGTGAAGTGATATTTTTTTTTCTTCTGAGTTATAGTCTCTCTCTGTTGCCCAAACAGGAGTGCAGTAGCATATTCACGGCCACTGCATTCTCGACCTGCTGGGCTCAGGCGATCCTTCGGCCTCAGCCTCCCAAGTAGCTGGAACCACAGGCATGTGCCATCACACTCAGCTGATTTTTTGATTTATTGTAGAGATGAGGTCTCACCATGTTGCTCAGGCTAGTCTCGAACCCCTGAGCTCAGGCAGTCCTCTCACCTCTGCCTCCCAAAGTACTGGGATTACAGGTGTGAGCCACAACACCTGGCATGAAGTGATATCTCATTGTGGTTTTGATTTGCATTTCTCTAAGAAATTTCTACAAGAAAATAATAAACATATTTTCTGTGTTGTCCATTTGTATATAATCTTTGGGAAAGTGTCTGTTCAAATAATACACATATTCTATATAAATAGATATTTTAAATTGTTTTATGTTGTTATTGCAATGTAGGAAGTTCTTTATATATTCTGAATACTAACCCCTTATTAGATACATGATTTGCAAATATTTTCTCCATACTATGGGTTTGTCATTTGACTCTATTGACAGCATCATTTTCAATTTGATATGGTCCAATTTATCTTTTTTTTTTTTTTTTTTTTGAGTTGGAGTCTTACTCCATCGCTCAGGCTAGAGTGTGGTGGCATGCTCATGGCCATCCCAGTGTTGATCTGCTCTGGGCTCAGGCAGTCCTTCTGCCTTACCCTTCCAAGTAGCGAGAACTACAGGCGTGTGCTACCATGCTCTGCTAATTTTTTGCTTTATTGTAGAGATGAGGTCTCGCCAAGTTGCCCAAGCTGTTCTCGAACCCGTGGGCTCAGGCAGTACCCTCACCTCGGCCTCCCAAAGTGCTGGGATTACAGGCTTGAGCCACTGCACCTGGTCCAATTTATCTTTTTTTAAGAGACAGAGTCTCATTCTGTTTCCCAGGCTGGAATGCAGTGGATCATTGCTCACTGCAACCTCCAGCTCCTGATCTCAAGCAGTCCTCCTACATGAGTTTCCAGAGTAGTTAGGACTACAGATATGCCACCATGCCCAGCTAATTTTAAAGATTTTTGTATAATTTGTGACCAACCTGGGCAAACTTGGTGAGATCTCATTTTTATAGTAAATCAAAAAAATTAGCTGGGCATAGTGGTGTGTACCTGTGGTTTCAGCTACTTGGAAGGCTGAGGCAGAAGGATCGCCTTAACCCCTCAGGTTGAGGCTGCGGTGGCCATGAGTATGCCACTGCACTCTGGCCTAGGTGACACAGTGAGACTCTGACACACACAAAAAAAATTTCAAACATTACAGCTAAATCTAAAGTCTCTTTTATCAATCCAGTTCCTATCCCACTGCCTTCTTACCCTACTCAGAGTTGATCATTGTCAGTTTTCTATGATCCCTGCAAAATCTTTTTCTGTGCATTTACTCATATGTGAATACATTATATTCATATATAATTATTTACCCTCTGTTTTTCACAACTGTGGTAATCAATAATCAGTAAATACTAGTCTGAGAGACTAGAATGAGAAGTAAAAGGTCACGCATGTGAAAACATATCATATGTATACAGCTTGTAAAATTTCATTTTGTATCTGTTCTGCACATAGTCTCCAGGTACCATTGAACAGGTGATGGCTCCGCGGTCGCGGCGACGAAGGCACAAGAAATCCTCTTCATCAGTGACTCCTGTGGTTGTGACCCCACCCACTGTTGTGACCTCTGTGCCTCTGACCTCCTCAAAACCTGGCCCTAGCATTGATGCACTTGGCTTCTTCTCCTTGGATAATAATGTTCCTGGACTATCCCACCTGATCCTTCAAAAGCTGAACATGAAAAGCTATGAAGAATACAAGTGAGTGACCAGCTTTGTGGAAAAGGGATATATTGTCTCTGGTAGAAGTAATTTCAGAAGGTGGAGAGGGGGTGTAATTTCAGCAACATGGAGTGTTTGCAAGTCAAGATTTCCTCATCCTGACCTTTGCCGGTTTTATTACTAAGAAGAAGAAATATAATTTGCTTAAGTGAGAAATTATGGCATTAGGAAATATAGGAGTAGGTGGAAATGTCCAGGAGACAAAGTAAGGGAAATGAGAGATTTTAGAGATATTCTTTTCCCTATTGCCACTCCTTCTCTGTATTGTCTCTGCAGGTTGGTGGTCGATGGGGGTACCCCTGTATCAGGCTTTGGATTCCAATGTCCTCAAGAAATGTTCCAGAGGATGGAGGACACATTCCGATTTTGTGCTCACTGTAGAGCACTCCCCAGTGGCCTTTCAGACTCCAAGGTCCTCCGGCACTGCAAGAGGTGATTTGCAGGGGCTAATAGGGAGACATTTAGAAAGGACCCTGTACTAACGATCTGAGAGGTTTCTTGGGGGGAAGGGGTGTTTGTTTTGCTTTTTGAGTTGGAGTCTTACTCTGTTGCCCAGGCTAGAGTACAGTGTCATGTTCATGGCCATCGAAGCCTAAACCTGCTGGGCTCAGGTGATCCTTCTGCCTCAGCCTCCTGAGTAGCTGGGACTATAGGCATGTGCCATCATGCCAACTAATTTTTTGATTTCTTTTGTAGAGACAAGGTCTTGCTATGTTGCCTAGGCTTGTCTTGAACTCCTGGGCTCACGTGATTTTCTTGCCTTGGCCCCTCTGTGCTTAAATTACAGGTTTGAGCCACCACGCCCAGCTGGTCTGAGAGTTTTCAAAATAACTTAAGAGGTGTACCTTATTTTGTGTCATCCAGGCTACAGAGAGATTAGAACAGGGTTCTAATCCTGCTTATGTTTGGTGTTATGGGGAGGTGAGACAAGATACCACAGTATAATCCTCTCTATCTCCCTCTTCTCAAGGGGTAAGACCACATCTATTGTGGGGAGGCTGGGGTCAAACCATGCCTGTGATAAGAGGCTAGCTGCGAACTCCTGGTGATTTTTTTTTTCTGAAAGAGATGTAAAAAGTGAGTTGTTCCAGCTAGAGACTAAAATGTCACTCTGTCTGGGAGAATAATTACATTTCCAATCCCTCCTGCCTCTTTTGCCAAATGTAGTCCGCAGATTGGTGCATCAGCTGTCATTCTTCTCCCTACCTTCTTTCCCATTCACTGGTCTTTCTTCCTAGGTGTAGGAATATCAGTTTCCTTCCCTGAACACCCTCAATCACCTTTATGGTATAGGAACATCTATTTCTGTGACTCATTCTCTCAGGTGTAGAAATGTCTATTACTGTGGTCCAGAGTGCCAGAGGTCAGACTGGCCAGCACACAGGAAGGTCTGTCAAGAGCTTTGTCTTGTGGCTGTGGACCGTCTCATGGAATGGCTTCTGGTCACAGGTAGAGTGGTGGCATTGGGAACTCTGCCATAATTGTCATAGTTGGTTGTACTTTGAGGAATAGATGAAAGCATATTGTTAGGAAAAAATGAGGAACTGGGGTAGGGGAAGGAGGCAAGGGATGGGGCACTCTTGATCACATGTTGGCAGAGTGAACATGGAAGGAATATGGATCATTATTGAGGAGGGAATTTTTTTTTTGAGTCAGAGTCTCACTCTGTCACCCAGGCTGGAGTGCAGTGGTACACTCACAGCCACCCCAGCATCGACCCGCTGGGCTCAAGCAATCCTTCTGCCTTAGCCTTCCAAGTAGCCGGAACTACAGGCATGTGCTACTATGCCCAGCTAGTTTTTTGATATATTGTAGAGTCGAGGTCTCATCAAGTTGCCCAGGCAAGTCTTGAACCCCTGGGCTCAGGCAGTCCTTTCGCCTCATCCTCCCAAAGTGCTGGGATTACAGGTTTGAGCCACTGCGCCCAGCTGAGGAGGGAATTTTGAAGCCAGAAAATGATTAAGGGACTTCACATTCCTTCTTTCCTGCAGGTGATTTTGTCCTACCCTCAGGACCATGGCCATGGCCAGCTGAAGCTGTACAGGACTGGGATACCTGGTTTTCCATGAAGAGATTACACCTAGATGCTGCACTAGATGCTGTGCTAGGTAGTCATGCCATGGCTACCCTATGGGCCAGTGTAGGACGGCCAAGGCCAGACCCAGATATCTTACAGGGATCTTTAAAGCGGCTGCTGACAGATGCCCTGTCACGGCCCTTAACTCTGGGTCTAGGGCTTAGGTCCTTAGGGATAGATGTTGGGAAGACTGGGGGAAGCATAGTGCATGTGGTTGGTGCATCCCATGTGGAGACATTTCTTACTCGCCCTGAAGACTATGATGAACTTGGATACATGTTTCCTGGACACCAAGGACTCCGTGTGATCATGGTGGGTGTAGATGTGGCTACTGGCTTTTCACAGAGCACCTCAACTTCACCTCTGGAACCTGGCACACTTCAGCTTGGTGCCCACAGGGGCCTCTATCATGACTTCTGGGAGGAACAGATAGAGACTGGGCGGACAGCCCATCCAGATTTGGTGGTGGCATTCCATCCAGGTAAGAGTCATTGGTTCAGAGGAATACTGGTTGGCCCCCTTGAAAATGTTCCATCTTGAATCTTGTGTCTTATATCTTTGGAGCACCATTTGTTTGTTTTCTTTAAACATAATATGATGACAGTCTTGGCTGATCATTTGCCAGCTATACTACACCTGGGTTCAGAATTTTCCATGGAAGAACTTGGGGTGGAGGATGATGGTGATTATTACTGGGAATGAGCAAGATGAGGGGTGGGTAGACACAATTAAAAAAATTTTGCTCATAGGATTTACTTGTTTTTCCTCTTTCTGTTTTTGTTCCATAGGTTTCCATTCCTCCCCAGACTTGATGGAGGCTTGGCTGCCCACCCTTCTGCTACTTCGTGACTATGAGATCCCTACATTGATTACTCTTTACAGGTTTGGACCTCTTCCTATTAATGGTACTATCTTGACTCACTCACACCTCTTTTTATATTGATGAGCTCATTTTGCTCCCTCTAGCTCATCTACTTTCTAGTAAAGATGTTCTTCCTTTCCACACATGGCTTTTCATCCCCTTGAAACAAAGCCCTATGCTAGTTAATTGGGTATTTACTGACATTTGGGAGAGAAGGCTAGCCCTTTCCTAGTCCAGCTTTAGGTAATTTGGGGTATTAATGAATACAGAAATGTCATGCTCTTAAGCAATTTTTCCTTTCTTTATTTCAAAATCAGCAGAGCAACTTTTCTTACTCTTTTTCACAGCCATCAAGAGTTGGCAACCTCTTTGCAGATTCTGGTGGAACTGGATACGCACATCACTGCATATGGGGCTAACCCTTTCATGTCTCTCAAACCTGAACAGGTTTATTCCAACCCCAATAAGCAGCCAGTATATTGCAGTGCCTACTATATCATGTTTCTTGGAAGCTTCTGCCAGCTGGATAAGAGGCAGTTGGAAGGGAAAGTAGATGATGAGGTTTAAATAGATCCTGACTAGATATCTGGAAAATTGATGGTTTGTTATGAAATTACCCTGCTAATGCCAGGTTTTTGCCATCTTTGAAACCCACTATATTCTAAACCTCATTCATCGTCTGGGTAAAGATTCTAAACTGAATGAGAGTTCCTATATGCTGTGCCTCATTTCTGAGAGTTTAGCCATTGCAGCTTCTAGAGATAGGATTCTAGATTTAGTGAGTGGCAAAAGGCCCTGATGTCTGTCTCTCCAGAGGCTTGAGTTGCTAACATTTTCCTTTGTGAGGAAGTTACACCTTTTGACTGGAACCAGGTAGCACTGAGGAGAGGAATAAGAACCACCTTATTCTTCTGAAAAAGGCTTTCTTCTCATTCAGTAATTTAGACTAAAGAATGGAGAAATTTTGATGACTTGAAATGGTGCAAGAATGGAGAAGTCAAAGAAGTTGTTGGAAATGAGGAGGTTATAAGGATTAGCACACTGCCTTATTTCCTGTTTTTATTAGAGAGAAATAACTCTTTTTTCTATTTTCTCTTGGGGAGTGTCTGACCCTAGATAGCCCTGGTGTTGTATTTTAGATGTCCCAGGCTATATTATATTTTACCTGAGTATACTGTAATTATTTACCATAGTAAACCAGTTCTATACAACAATAAACTTTGTCTGGGGCTTCTTAAGTCACTTGTTATATCTTATTTCCTATTTACTGGCAAGTATTATTCATCTCCACACAATACCTCAAGATTGGATGTTTCTCTCTTGCTAATGGAATAATTAGTTTCAGCTTTCTGTTTGGGCCTGCCACTCTATCACATCCTTGTGTTATATCAGCATTTTTCTATTACACTTAGGGTTAGGACATTTCCTTGGTATTCATGCCTACAACCTTGCTTTGGCTTTCAGACATACACTCACATACTCACTCACCCCATCACCCCAACACACACATATACACTCTTATTGCTTATTCTAATAGGGATAATTTTAGAATTCCATTTACTAATTTAAAACAGTACCTACCATGTGAAAAGTATTGCATTGTGGCTTTGGGAAGATTGAAAAGTGAATGAAACATGGTCATTGTTCTTAAACCAGGAAGGGAAATAATATATATACAAAGGTACCTTTATTGCAAGGTGTATTATGGAATAAGAAACATGAAAGAGACTTAGCGTGCTAAGGAAATAGAGTGAAAAGAGAGAGCACTTTGCTAAATGATAATAAAGATATTATAAATTAGAATTATATGAAAAAGGTAAATGCAGGGCATTCAAGATAGAAGGAACAACAAGAGCAGAAGTTTGAAGGCCAAAAAGCATGACAGATAGTTTAGGGTACATTTGGGGAATAATATAAATTAAGTTTGGAAGATAGAATGAGATCAGTTTATAAGAATATCAGTGCTCATCTTGGATTTATGTAGGTCTGAGTCTGAATCCTGGCACAACCATCAAATAATTTTGTGCCCTTGGGGAAGCTAAATGTCCCTAAGCCTTAGTTTCCTTACCTGTAAAATGGAAATAATACCTAGTACCCCAAACTACATTTGAGTTCAGTGAAAATGTTTGCAAAGTTGGGGGGACTCACACATCCCAGTTTCAAAACTTACTACAGGTTTTATCCCCAATCAAAAAAATCAGAAATTCAAAATGCTCCCAAATCTGAAATTTTTTGAGTGCCAAGAAAGCAATCAAAGGAAATGCTCATCGGAGCATTTCAGATTTGGGATTTTCAGATTAGGGATGCTGAACTTGTAAATATATAGCACAAATATTTCAAAATTTGAACAAATTTGAAATTTGAAACACTCGTGATGCCAAGTATTTTGGAGAAGGGATACTCAACCTGTACAGAGCAACAGTAATCAAGATGCTATGATACTGGCATAGGATTGACTTATAGATAGATGAAATAGAATTGAGAATTATCATAGTCTGTTTGGGCTGCTATAACAAAATACCATAAACTAGGAGGTTTATAAACAACAGAAACTTCTTACCATTCTGGAAGCTGAAAGTACAAGATCAAGGCACTGGCAGATTTGGTGTCTGGTAAGTTTCCCAGTTTGTATAAGGTGCCTTCTTACTTTGTCCTCACATGGTGAAAAGGGTGACTGAGTTTCCTCATGCCTCTTTTATAAAGACCCTAATCCCATTCATGAGGGCTGTGCCTTCATGACCTAATCATCTCCCAAAGTCCCACTTCCTAATAGCAGACATTTAGATTTTAACATGATTTTGGAGGGAGACACAAAGAATTCAGACCATAGCAAGAATTGTAAAAAAATCTTAACATTTATGGTCAATTAATTTTCAACAGAGTGCTGAAACACTTGGAAAAAGAATAGGCTTTTCAACAAATGGTGCTAGGACAACTGGATATCCAGATGCAAAGAGAATAAAGTTGTGGCTAGGTGCGGTGGCTCAGCCTGTCGTCCCAGCACTTTGAGAGGCCAAGGTGAGAGGATTGCCTGAGCCTGGGGTTTCGAGACCAGCCTGGGCAACTTGGTGAGGCCTCATCTCTACAGTAAATCACAAAAACTAGCCAGGCATGGTGGTGTGCATCTGTAGTTCCAGCCACTTGGAAGGCTGAGGTGGAAGGATTGCCTAAGCCCAGGAGGTTGAGGTCGCGGTGGCCATGAGCGTGCCAGTGCACTCCAGCCTGGGTGACAAAGAGTGAGACTCCAACTCGGGAAAAAAAAATAAAGTTGTACCTTGTATCCGCATCTCACATTGTATACAAAAATTAACTCAGAATGGCTTAAAGACCTAAAGAGTGGCCAGGCTCGGTGGCTCAGCCTATAATCCCAGCACTTTGGGAGGCCGATGCGAGTGGACTGCCTGAGCCCGTGGGTTCAAGACCCACCCAGGCAACTTGGAGAGACCGTGTCTCTACAATAAATCAAAAATTAGCTTGGCGTGGTAGCATGCGCCTGTAGTTCCGGCTACTTGGAAGGCTGAGGCGAAAGGATCAACGGAGCCCAGCAGGTCGAGGCTGTGGTGGCCGGGAGCGTGCCATTGCACTCCTGTCTGGGCGACAGAGTGAGACTCCAACTCAAAAAAGCAAGACCTAACGAGCTAAAGTATAAAATTCTTTGAAGAAAATATAGGGGGAAATCTTCATGAACTTATATTTGTCAGTGTTTTCTTAGCTATAACACGAAAAGCACAAGCAACCAAAATAAATACATCAGACTATCAAAATTTAAAACTTTGTGCTCCAAAGAACCATCAAGAAAGCATAGAGAATGGGAGAAAATATAAATCATATATTTGATAAAGGACTCGCATCCAGAATAAAGGACTCTTAAAAGGACAAATAACCCAGTTTAAAAAATGGGCAAATTATCTGAACAGATACTTCTCCAAAGAAGATATAAGAATGGCCAAAAGCACATGAAAGGATGTTTAGCATCATCAGTCATTAGGAAATAAAAATTAAAATCACGAGACATCACTTTACAGCTCCTACAATGGCTATAATTAAAAAGATAGTAATAATAATGAGGATGTGGAGCATTGGAACATTTATACACTGCTGGTTGGAATGTAAAATGGTGCAGCTATTTTGGAGGACAGTCTGGCAGTTCTTCAAAAGATTAAACATTGAGTTATCATTTGATCCAGCAATTTCACTCATAGGTTTGTACCCATAAGAAATGAAACCAGCTGGGCTCGGTGGCTCAGCCTGTAATCCCGCACCTTTGGGAGGCTGAGGTGAGTGGATTGCCTGAGCCCGCGGGTTCAAGACCCGCCTGGGCAGCGAGACCTCATCTCTACAATAAATCAAAAAATCAGCCTGGCGTGGTAGTACGCGCCTGTAATTCTGGCTACTCGGAAGGCTGAGGTGGAAGGATCACCGAAGCCCAGCAAGTCGAGGCTGCGGTGACTGGGAGCGGCCACTGCATTCCGGTCTGGGCAAAAGAGTGAGACTCCAACTCAAAAAAAAGAAAAAAAAAGAAACCATATGTATACAAATATAGTGGCATTATTCATAATAGCCAAAAAGGCCAAAACAACCCAAATAAGCAAACTGTAGTATATAATTACAAAGAAATATTATTTAGCCATAAAAAGGAATGAAGTACTGATTCATGCTGCAACATGGATAAACCTTGACGACATTATGTTAAGTGAAAGAAGCCAGTCACAAAAGACTGTATAGTGTATGAGTGCATTTATATGAAATGTTTAGAATCGGAAAATTCATGGAGACAGATTAGTGGCTGTATAAGAATGGGTGTATTATGAGTTATGGCTAATGGGTATGGAGTTTCTTTGTGGGGTGAGGTAACCATTCTAAAATTGATTGTGGTGATGGATGCACAACTCTTTGAATGTATTAAAAACCATTGGATTGTACACTTATATGGGTGAATTATATCTCAAAGCTATTAACAAAATCTTGTAAATCTTAGGAATTTAAAAAAATATTTAAGTTCTTAACACAGAGCCTAGCAAATAGTATGTACTTAATAGTAGCTACTATTGAATACATGCCACTTCAAATTTTGCTCAGTAAGATAGCTTGAACTGGCAGTATCATGTAAGATTGGTGATGGAAAAACCAGTTAGAACACTATTGTCATGGTTCTGATGAAATAATGTAGGTGTCAGCTAAGATGATAGTGGGCATGGAAAGCAAGAGGTAATTTGTAGCCATGAGTAAATAGTGACATACATAAAATTTGGAAGTAAAACCTACAGGATCTGGATATCAATTATGATGGTTGAAGGTGATATATCTGTCAGTCAGAGTATAATCAGAAGACAGATACCACACAGCAGATGACACAAAAATTTCCAACTTAGTAAATGGTGGTTATAGTACATAAAAGGTCAAATGCCTAGCTTCATAATAAATGCTCAGGATTCTAAGATGGTTTCTACACTTAAAATGTTTTCAGTTGAATAGGAGACTGACATAAGCAAGGGTAATATAGTGGAGCTACTTTTTTTTTTTTTTTTTTTTTTTTTCCGAGTCAGTCTCACTTGTCCGGGCTGGAGTGCAGTGGCATGCTCATGGCCACTGTAGTCTTGACCTGCTGGGCTCAGGTGATCCTTCTGCCTCAGCCTTCCAAGTAGCTGGAACCACAGGCATGCACCACCACACCTGGCTGATTTTTTGATTTATTGTAGAGATGAGGGCTCACCATATTGCTCAGACTGGTCTTGAACCTCTGAGCTCTGGCAATCCTTGCCTCTGCCTCCCAAAGTGCTGGGATTACAGGCATGAACCATCAGTGCCTGGCTAAATTACATTTTTTAAAAGTCAGCATATGAAGTGAAAAAATATTTTCAAAACTATATTTGAAAATCCTTTAGGATAGCACTGCCATTGATCCTTTCAGTAGGTCTATCAGAGTCAGTTTTTTCCAGTGTTGGAAAGAAATCTCTATTTAGTTGATTGCTAGATTAAGTAGTTGCCTTGGGTTTGGGAGGTCCTATTGTCAATCAGACAATCATTATTTATTAAACACTACTATTAGGCTTTGGAGATATTCCTGTTCTCAAGAAGCTTACATTCTAGTGGGAGAGACAGACAGTAAACGGAATTTCAGATGCTTTTAAGTACTGTAAAGAAAATTAGGCTGGGTGCAGTGGCTTAGGCCTGTAATTCCAGCACTTTGGGAGGCAGAGGCAAGAGGATTGTATGAGCCCGCGGGTTCAAGACCAGCCTGGACAACATGACAAGCCCTCATCTCTATAATAAATCAAAAAATTAGCCGGGTGTGGTGGCACATGTCTGTAGTTCCAGCTATTTGGAAGGCTGAGGTAGAATGCTCGCCTGAGCCCAGCAAGTCAAGGCTACGGTGGCTGTGAGCATGGACACCAGAGTTAGACTCCAATTCAAAATAAAGAAAGGAATGAATGAATGGTCTCAAAGGGAAGCAAGGAAAAGGAGATGATCAGGAAGAGTTTCTTGGAGTAAGTAGGAGATGGACAACCTTTGAGTCAAGTCTCAGTAGATTAATAATAATTAAGAGATGGACATTGCTTTCTAGACAGAGGAAAGCGTCCCTTATTCTGGGATGCCTTTTTTGCCAGGAAAAAAAGACGAGTAGAAAGGATCAGATGGAAAATGTATTGGTAGTGTCTGAACAGACTGTTGGATATTTCAGCCTAAAGCTCAAGAAAACTGGTTGGAAATAAGAGGTTTGGAAACGATCCTCTTATGGTGGAGGCAGAGGGAGGGGTTGGGGAGAGCCCACGGAGGGAATAGTGTAGAAGGAACAGATTGTAAGGACAAATAATACTTTAATTCTGGCGGGCTCTCTGGTAGGTAGTAGAGAAAGGCCTGTTATTTGCCAGGTAGACAGATTTTCCGGAGCCAGGAAATTAATGCTGGGCACCAAGTGTAATTCAGTTTTGTCTACCATTGTTAAATTTGGGCAGTGGGCTTTCCACTTCTCTTATGTTTTGAGGTCGTTTACATATATCTTGCTCTTCCCACTTAAAATCATAATCCACACCCTTCCACCCCCATGAGGAAGCTTGGGGATAAAAAAGCGTGTGGGGGGCCAGGAGCGGTGGTTCATGCCTATAATCCCAGCACTTTGGAAGGCCGAGGTGAGAGGATTGCCTGAGCCTATGGGTTTGAGATAAGCCTAGGCAACTTGGTGAGCCCTCATCTCTACAATAAATCAAGAAAAATTAACCGGGCATGATGACACATGCCTGTAGTTCCAGCTACTTGGAAGGCTGAGGTGAGAGAATCGCCTGAGCCCAGCAGGTCGACGCTGCGGTGGCCGAGAGCATGCCCCTGCCCTCCAGCCTGGGCAACAGAGTGGGACTCCAACTAAAAAAAAAAGAAAAACGTGTAGATGAGAGTAATAGGGTGATATGTATCAGATTGGCAAACTTCAGCTGGCTTGTAAAAGATTGCTGTGCACCACTCAGGGAGTTTGTTTCCATGGGTGGAGCCCAATAATTTGCATTACTAACTCGTTGCCGGACGATGTTACTGTTCTGGGGACCGAACTCAGAGCACTGATTTTTGCTCTGGAATACAAATTCCTTGGCGAGCTGAAGATACTGGTCCGAGCCTTTCTCATGGCCTCCGACTTTTAATGCTGTGTGCTTCATGCTCTAGCGCACGATGGAAGCCTAGAATCATTTCACTCCTTTCTGGAGCGGTTTGGATTTAGTACCTCTCCAGTTTCGACTATCGAGAACTTCCAATAAATATGAATGGTTTTCACAGGAGGCTAATTAAAAAACGCTTTGTCTCCAGCAGATACCTGAAGGACGGCATTTCAGAGGCAGAGAGGCTGCCCAGGCCTCGCAGTCTCGGCCCCTCTCTGTCGCCCACCCCTGGAGGGGCCCCGGGATTCCCCCAGGACGGCAGCAACTTCCTAAACGACTTGAGTCAGCCCGGAAGGGATTGTAGCAGAGTTCTCGAGACCGAGAAATGTGCTAAAAAAGGCTGGGCCCCTCGGAGGGCAGGTGGAGCCCGGCGGGCGGGGGGGGGGGAGCGGGACGCAGGGAGAGCCCCTCCCGGCACCGCGAGCTGTGGCTCGGGGGGCGTTCCCGGCGCCGCGCTCTTAACGGGCTCGAGCGCAGCGTCCCGCCCTCCGCGGGCCCGCCCCCGGCTCCATCTTGCGGCCGCTGGGTTGGGCTGTGACGCGGCTCCCGGGTCAGGTGAGGAACGGCGCCCCCTCCTCGACCCGCTTCCTCGTCCGTCCCGGCCCCCCATCCCCGCCTGCTGTGGGGCCCGCCGTCCTGGGGCTGGTGGGGCCCTGCGTCTACCCCACGCCCGGCGCGGCGGAAGGGCCGCGTGGGCCTTCCTCCCGGTGGCGGCGGCTGGGCGTGCGCGGTTCGAATCCCGGGCTGCCTGCCGGGTGGGGCGGGTGGGGATGGGGCGGTTGAGGCAGGCGGCCGGACGGGCGTGTGGGAAGGCGAGGGAGTCCTGTCGGTCGGTCCTCGGTACCGCCTGGCGATACGGAAACCCGAGGGGCCCATGCCGCCCCGCCGCCCGGCAGGTGGGCCACAGGTGGAGGTGCGGGGGCCCGAGGGCGGCCCCGCGGAAGCCGCCTCCGGGAAGGCCGCGTAGGGGAACCCGGCGAGCGACGCCCAGTGCCAAGCCTGCCTGGTGACAATACTTTCCGGTGACACAGCAAATTTAGGGAAACTTGGGAAACGTGTACTGTGCTTGGCGAACGCTGGCACGGAATGACTGAGCCTGATCAGGGCTGTCCACTGGCTGAGGTTTACGGCCCTTGGGAACTATCTAGAACAGCCCTCCAGATTGTAGTCCCGTTCCCTGACCGCCAGCCGACGTGTGCTGATGTTAGCCCACTCAGTGCGAACTCTTCCCAAGGAAACCAAGGGGCCGGGAGAGATGGCTGATGCCCACCATAAAGTGACAGAAATGAGAAGACCCCCTGTCCCCCAGCTGCCTTTAAACACCCCAATTTTTGCTAGCGGGCAGGGGACTAATCTGCTGGTGTCCGAAGTAGAAAATGAGTGTAACGCGTTACCTGTCAGACAAGGAAGGAGTTTCAAGAACTAGATAGGCAGGTAGAAGCGAGAATTCTGGCCACTGCAAACTCAAGCCACCTTTCGGTCCTCGCTGCCTACCTGTCCAGCCAGAGGACTAGCCATGCCTCCGCGTTCTGCCTCCAAGTTGCTGACCGATTTAAATGGCCCTTCCAATTCTGCAGGCCGGTTTTGGAAAATTGTATCTGCTGTTGCACATCTTACTCACCCTTCCTGTTTCTTGTTCCCCACTCCACCCCCCCCCAAATTTGCAACAGCTGCCTCTTGTGTTCCTGGGCTTGATGCCATCTAGGAGACACCCATAGTAGACCTACCCCTTTTACTAGCTGACTCACTGGGTGGAGATGGTTTGGAGAACCAAGAAAGATTTTCTCCTTTTAAAAGTTTGCTGACAACCACTTAAAAAGAAAATAGGAGTTCTGGTTTACCAGTAGAGTCTCTTTATTCACTTGAGTGCAGTTGAGTAAGTTTGCAGTCTGGCATTTGTTTAGCTTTTTACAAAAGCTTTAAAAATCTCCCTTTTGAATAGATGATACATGCACCATTCTGAAAGGGTAAAGGTATGCTGAAAAAGTAAGTTTACTCATGGTGCTCCTGCTCTCCTCCTGGGAGGCAGCCACGGTTTTCTACTTTGATTATCCTTTCAGGGATGTTCTATACAAACACAAGAAAATAAGTGTATTTTTTTACACGTATGTTTGCAAACTGCAGTTTTCCACCCTGCTTTTTTTTTTTTTTCACTTAATGTGTTGGAGATGGTTTCATATATGAGTAAAAAGACAAAAAGCAGCCTAAATTTTAATAGACATTGTATAGTATAGATATCTGTAATCAGTTTCACTTGTCCCTTATTGATGGAGGATTAGATTGTTTTTAACCTTTTCTTTCTTTCTTTCTTTTTTTGAGTTGGAGTCTCACTCTGTCGCCCAGGCTGGAGTGCAGTGGCATGCTCACGGCCACCGCAGCCTCGATCTGCTGGGCTCAGGTGATCCTTCCACCTCAGCCTTCCGAGTAGCTGGAACTACAGACATGCGCCACCACACCTGGCTAATTTTTAATTTATTGTACAGATGAGGTCTTGACAAGTTGCCCAGACTGGTCTCAAACCCGTGGGCTCAGGCAGTCTTCTCACCTCAGCCTCCCAAAGTGCTGGTATTATATAGGCATGAGCTACCACGCCCGGCCTAGCCTTTTCCTATTACAAATAATGCTGTAATGAATAACTTTGTACATACAAAATTATGTACTTGTGCAAGTATTTCTATAAGGTACATTCCTGGAAATGGAATTGCCTTCTAGTCCCTTCTGTAATTTCATTCTTCAAAATATTCTGACATTCACTTTCTTAAAACCGCTTTAATTTTTCTTCTATGCAGATAGTCTTGCCTTATTTTGTTTATTTATTTATTTTTTTGAGTTGGAGTCTCACTCTGTCACCCAGGAGTACGGTGGCTTGATCACAGTTCACCACAGCCTCAACCTCCTGGGCTCAGGCAATCCGTTCACCTCAGCCCTCCAGTAGCTGGGGCTGCAGGCATGCACCACCATGCCCAGCTAATTTTTTGAATTTTTTGTAGAGATGAGGTCTCACTTTGTTGCCCAGGCAGGTCTCGAGTTCCTGGGCTCAAGTAATTCTGCCCCAACCTCCCAAAGTGCTGGAATTACAGGCATGAGCCACCGCTCCTGTTCCTCGTTCTGTTTTGACAGTCCTGTTGACATAACTCTTCTAGGCCCTTAAAGGTAATATTTAATATAGTAACTAAAGAATGTAGATTAGGTATTGTAGAAGGTATGGTAGGTAATGTAGAAATTATTTCTTGAGACTTTGAAACTTAAGTTGCTCTGAGGCGGGAGGATTGCTTGAGGCCAGGAATTTGAGACAAGCCTGGACAATTATGATGGCACATGCCTGTAGTCCTAGCTACTTGGTAGACTGAGACTGAGTTTGGAGGATCGCTTGGACCCAGGAATTCTATCCTACAGTGAGCTGTGATCATGCCACTGTACTCCAGCCTGGGCACCAAAGTGAGACTCTAAAAACTTTTTAAAAATTAAGTAAGTAAATAAAGGAAATTAAATTAAATACATTATTTACATTTTTTTTCTTTCTTTTGCCCTTGGTCCATCTGACTATGTAAATACTTTTTCCCCTCTTTTACTCCTTGTGCCAATCAGGCTTAGCAAAGGAAACGGCAAAAAATTTAACCTGTCCCGGTTTATACAGCCAGCCTTCTGGATCCCAAATGACTATTTTAGACTGACTGGATCAGTTTTCTTGTCATCTTTTTTTTTTTTAGTGTTTGTTTTTGTTTTTTTGGGGTTTTTTTTTGAGTTGGAGTCTCACTCGGTCACCCAGACTGGAGTGCTGCTGGGCTCCGGTGATCCTTCCGCCTCAGCCTTCTAAGTAGCTGGAACTACAGGTGCGTGCTACCATGTTGGGCTAATTTTTGATTTATTGTAGAGATGATGTCTCGCTGCACAGTCGGTTCTCGAATCTGCGGGCTCAGGTAATCCACTTACCTCAGCCTCCCAAAGGCGCGGGATTACAGGCTGAGTCACCGAGCCCAGCTGAGGGTTACCCTTTTTAAAAAGTTTTTTATTTTGAAGATATGGGATACAATTCAGGGTTAGGTATACAAATGTTCATTATGCAGGAATTCTTATTATCTTTTTTATTGGCCTATAACTTGGATTCAATATATATATGCCCATTTATTCTCAGTTTAGCAAGGTTTTAGCTTCTATCCTGTGTTTATGTCATAAGGGACATTATAATAACTCATTTTCCTGTACTGTGAATACTTTTTCCCCCATCTTTCTATCAGCACCTAGGACAGTACTTATTACATAATAGGCTTTTATAAATGTTGAATTGAATCAGATTTGTTTGGCATCTTGTTATAAAAGAAATATGAATCATTTATAGCTGTATTGGGAGAAAGTGCCAAAATATACAGTTAAAAATTTAGAAAATTAGGTGGTAGGTCCAAGAAATGCCAAAGTATCTGGTACCAAAGTATGAATCACAGCGTCACCTGGAAGCTTTGTTAGAAATGCAGAATCCCCATCCTGGAACTACTGAATCAGACTCTGTGTTTTAACAAGATTCGCAAGTATTCAAATACCTATTAAAGTTTGAGAAACACTTTTTTTGTCTACTACGTGTTCAAAGAAGTAAGAGAGAAGATTTGAGCCAGATAAGCTGGAGGGATGAACAAGCCTGGGCTTGAGGGCCAAGTCAGTTAATGATAAGAGTGGCTTATGCAAAGGGATGCTGTGAATGGTTAAGTGGTAGAGATTTAACATTGAGGGTTAGGTGTTGGTAAAAACCAAATTGAATAAAAAAGTTAGAGCCAATACCAAGGAAACCTGAATGTCAGGCCAGTTAATTTTCATTCCATACTCCAGCAGTAGTCATTGATTTTTTTTTTTTTTTTTTTTTTTTTTAGTTTGAATCTCACTCCATTGCCCAGGCCGGAGTGCAGTGGCATGCTCAGAGCCACCCCAGCATCGACCTGCTGGGCTTTGGTGATCCTTCTGCCTCAGTCTTCCCAGTAGCCAGAACTATAGGCATGTGCTACCACGACCGACTAATTTTTTTTTATTGTAGAGACAAGGTCTCGCCAAGTCACCTGGGCTGGTCTTAAACCCGCGGGCTCAGGCAATCCACTCCCCTCGGCCTCCCAAAGTGCTCGGATTACAGACTGAATCACCTAGCCCGGCCCGTTGATGATTTTTGAACCGAAGAGTAATATGCTGAAAGAGCAGCATTTTAAGAAAGTTTAACTTGTGATGTTAATCACAATTCAAATGATGTTAATCCAATTATTAGGAAAATTGAAAGGGTGAGGAAGTATAAGCAACGGAGATGTATTTTTAGTAAGATAGGCATCAAGTGTTGAAACCTAGTCTAAGGATATGGCCATGAGAATAGAAATGACAGTAACAGTAGGAGAGGCATTTCAAAGGAAGGATAGAAAAATATTGGGTTACTTGCTACACTGGAGTATTAGGCAATTTAAGTAGTTGGTACTATTGACAGATAAAGGATGTTAAAAGTGACTTGATGGCAAATGATGAGTATTTAATTCTACATCAATACTGAAGGCCTTCTAACTGGCTTCTATCTTAATCTGCTTCTT